GTAATTACTCCTTACACTGAATATTAGTGTCTACATAGTGATTTTCGTCCAATTCGGTGCCTTGTGTAGGCAAAACTTGATATTTTCTGATGATACTCCATTGTTCTGTTGCATTCACAACGGTGTCCAATGGGCAAATTTATGCAATAAGAATCTTAAAAGGGAGAAACAACAGTGCCCAATTGTTCTTCAAAAATATATTAGAGAAAAACTGGGTGCGTACATGCTAATTAAACATTACAACATTATAAGACTTCCAAATACAAAATATAAGCAGGAAAATATTTATCTCCCCCTCCGGGAGTGGGAAGTGCTAGAAACTGGTGTCTTCTCCTCTCTAAAAGGTTGAGTTGATTCATCTGATACACTGGGCAACCTTGACACACTGCCCTTGCTTCTCTTTGCATTTGGTCCAATTTCCTCTATCATGTACTTCCACCCGTCAATAGGCCTCCGTCGGCTAAATATGTGTGTCTTTATAAAACTAGCTATCTGAATACCACAAATTAAGCAATTTCAGAAAAAAGAATACAAGACGCAGATATAAACAACATAAAACCTGTAAATGAAATTAAGAAAAAAATAATGTTCATCAAGAGACTGAACAAAACCCAAGCCCTGCTAACTTTGATGTCCCCCGTCTCCAAATATTCAACAATAAAGGTGCACTATACCAAAAATTTCATAAAAACCGGAAATCTGAATGAAAGGAATATCATACTTGCCTATAGGTTATAGATAAAGTATTTTTACATTTTTCATCCTAAAAATTCCAGGTTTTTTTTTTTTTTCAGACATGGATTTCTCTCTGAACATGCTTGTTAACAGGCAAGCAACCATCTCAATCATAAAATGATAATGAGACTTAAAGTGCATAACCACCAGAGCTGAGAGCACCGGATGTTCAGTTCTTTCAACATACCCCAATAGGCAACCCAGACTACTATGGCAACGACCTTGTCATCAATAGGTAAGACAAGGCATGTTTGTTTAAAAACATGAAACCAGAATCACTAAAGGGCAAAAGCATAAAAAAAAAATTTGATTCTTTCTTTTTCCTGAATAAGCATCACCAGAATCACTAATCATTCTAATCATAAGGAAACGCAAGACGCAGCATACTAGGCTAAAATGAATTTGAACGATCATTCTGCAAATATATCATATGGTGAAATAAGAACAGTATTCTTTAATTCTACATTACTGCATCAGAGCTCAAAGTGTCAAAGAAGTATGCGCTGCAAACAATGATTACAATAGTTCAACTATAGACAAACCTGGAACTTGTTGAATGCAATTCGGCGCTCAAATTCTTGGAGCAGGATATCTTCTTCTCTCTGTGACATCTCCCAGATATTACCATCTGGAGTTTTTGATGTTGTTTCCCAACCATCAGGTTTGTTCTTGAAATCAGTACTAGATTTTGAATTGTTCAAATCGTTGTTGGCAGAATCAAATATCCTGTATTTATTTAACCCAAAAAGGTTATTTAACAAGGTGTCCCTGGCCTTTAAACTTTCTACTAGCATACTTCAATACTGCAGGCAGAATGATGTAAAAACAAAATATGCACCCACACCATACATTAAGGACACAAGTTTTAGCTTCGCATGAATGGAAAAGAACTTACCCGTGCATAAGCCACAAGTTTTAACTTGGAAGCAAAGAACTTACCAGCAAAAAACTCATCAATGGGAGACAAGATATCACAAACTATGGATTTAGTAACCAGCAAGAGGGACTATTGGATCAAAGAAAGACAGCATTTGGAACCAATTAGGTGCTTCGTGGTAAGGCTTAATTATGGAAGAATATGTCAATGCAATGTTACAGCAAATGGTGTTAATAGGTTTATAGTAATATCAAGGGGAAAGAATTCCTACAAGCAACTTCAGTTTCGGTGATGGGACTTCAATGCGTCTTTTCTGAAAAAAGAAAAAAAAATGCTTATGTGGCTATGAGAAGGAAGGGAAGACAGACTCACAATAAGAGACTTTCTAGCTATCCTGCTTACATTATTCGGTAGCAGACATACACGATTAGATAGCTACATACGTAAGGCAAAACCATTCTGAACTCAATTAGATAGCTACATACCTAAGGCAAAACCATTCCAAAAAGAACTGTGCCCTATACCTATCCAAAAGGAAAGAAGAAGACATCCATCCCCTATTGTACGGACACTTCAATTAGGTAGCATGTCCGTGTACGATGGACACGTGTTGGATACCGACACTCCTCGTACACCCTACCACGATCATTTTTCTTTTTTATTAAAAATATTAAATATTTTTAATTCAAAATTATTAGTAAATAGCAAATATGTACTCATATTTAAAAAATTTTGACAAAAAAATAAATTAATAACAAGTATAAAACTAATTTTATACTATATAACTGAAGAATTTTAAAAAATTTAATTAACATGTAGGCAGCATGTTGTGTCAGTAATTTTTGAAAAATCACGTGTCATGTCAGACACACATGTCCGTGTCGATACTCATTGCATCCATCTAATACCATTCTCGTAAGTCCTATATCTATCATTTTAGAAGCCTGAGAAGACCCACAAAGAAAGAGATAACTCAAAGAGCAACGGCAACCTAAGAATAGTTAACGCGGATTTATAGGTTGCACTTTTCACTTGATCTATTATGTTAGTTCCATAGCAGAGCCTCCTACTAGTCGGATAGGAACAATTAACTACCTAGCTACCTGTCTTGATCCAGCATTCAGCCAGTTAGCTCATCATGAAATGCTATTTATTCCCATGGAGACTTTGCTAGCCGACGTATTCAAAATAGATTCCATTCATGAGGTTTTTCCATATAGTGAAGGAGTCTTTGCCTGGTGAAGGCACAACAGAACCAAATGAAACATAGCTGGCCCATGCAGAGCATCAGGACAAGTACATGGTCCAGCTTAATCAATACAAATTCACCAACAAACAGCAAGTTAATTTGAATAAATTCCACCCTAGCAAACCCCAAAAACACAGAATACTTAAAAATACAAATGAACATTACTCGCGCAGAAGTACAACTTGCCAATACATTTCAGCAGAATATAATCAATGTATTAATATTAACTCGCCTTTTATTTCTAACTGGCTGAATGCTGGATCAAGACATGGCAATTTGCATTCAAAATAACTTTAAAAAATCGGGTTATTGATTAACAAATCTACATTATATAACATATAATCAAGTCAATGTACGTAGTAATTTACATAAGACCAGTTAATCATTGCAAAACATGTCAAAAAATCCTACTTGAAATACTATGAATTTGAACATGATTGAATTGTAACATCAAAATCAATCCACGTGTTGAAAGTGAAGGAATGTAATGCTTACTCAGAGCAGCTATCCAGCAATTTCTCTATATTATCTCCATCAACGGAAATGGAGTCCCCCAATTTTGCCTCCTCCATTTTCTCAATCTCCTTCATCCATAGCCCCGCATGTATCTTTTGCTTCTTCAATCTGTAATCTCGCTTAATATTCTCCAAGCTATAAAGCGTCGATGAAGATGAAGACAATGCAGAGGAGTCCACATTGTTTTTATCTTCCTTCATTGTTTTGCCCTTCCTCTGGTCCCAATTCTCGTTCATGTCCTCCACAAAGGCCTTGGTCTCGGAGTCAATTTCTTCTCCCTGGTGAGTATTTCCAGCGGTGGCAGTGGGGAGGGAAAAGGTGACGTCGGATTCCCAGGGGGCTACAGGTGAGGATTTGCCGAAATGATCGTCAGGAAGCCACGCCGTTTCCCATGCGTCGTTCCACTCGTCGTCACCGGCTTTGTTGTTATTGGTTGTTCGTTTGGTGGAAAATAAAGCGGCTGTTACGGCGGCAGAGGGATGCCGGCTGGGTTTACATAGAGCGGCGGTGAGTCTGTAAATTGGGGTCATTTTAAGGGATGGGTACTGGTGTGTATGTGAATTTTCAGCAAAAAGTTTATTAGAGCTTGTTTGTAAAAAATCTTATTTTGCCGGAGGTGGCGTCCGGAGTTGTGGCGGCGGTATGGAAGTGGCGGTAGAGGCGTTGATGGATTCTGAAGGTGACCAGAGGTAGTGAGTTTTTCTTCCCCTTATTCTCTCTCTTTTTTATTTGTTGCTTTAGCCCTTGTTTTTCTCTCCTTGAATCAAAATTCTTTTAACTTTCCTTCCCATTTTTATCTACAATATTTACGTAACAAAATATTTTACATATAAATTCAAAAAAAATTATTATCTTCTGATCACACATTTTTTAAAAATAACTATTCAAAACTCATTTTTTAACAAATAATGACCAATAGGGCTATCATTTAACACATTTTTGGATGGAGTAATTAGCACATAACGTCCATACATTTCATTATTATTGTGGAAAACGTTCATGCCTTTTATTTTTTGGCATTTTTACACTTGTTTCCACCTTTTATTGTACAAACGGTCATTTTCATTCATTTTCTCAATTAAAAATTGTGAAATGATGAAAATGTCATTTCCTTCAAATAAAATAAAAGAAAAAAGAAACAAATCAATTGCAATCATAGTCCCAATTTTTTTGAAAAGCGCAGATGAGTTCCAAATAAATTATTAAAATAGTAATTAGTACATAATGTCACTATTTTTGTACCTTTATTGCGAAAAACGTTCATACCTTTCATTTTTTTGACATTTTCACCCTTAATTACACATTTGATTGTGCAAACCATCATTTCCATCTATTTTTATCAAATTTCTCAATAAAGAACTGTGAAATAATGAATATACCCACATATTTAAATAAATTTGTTTTTAATTTCTAATTCTCTAATAATTTATTTGGGACTCGTTTGCATTTTTTAGTTTTTTTAATTTTTAAATAAACTTAATTGGGACTCGTTTGCACTTTTCATTAAAAAATAATTTTTTTAATAATTTATTGGGGACTCGTTTGCACTTTTTTAAAAAAAATAGGACTATTGTTGCAATTAATTCTTTAACTTTTAATTTAAATAGTAGGGTATATTCGTCATTTCAATGTTTTTTATTGAGAAATTGGATGAAAATGGATAGAATTGATGGTTTGTGCTATCAAATTACAACTAAGGGAGAAAATGCCAAAAAGAAAAGTATGGACGTTGTTTGCAATAATAGTGAAAAGTAAGGATATTATGTGTTAATTACCATTTTAATAATTTATTTGTAACTCATTTTCGTTTTTCAAAAAAGTTGAGACTATGTTTGCAATTAATTTTTTTCTTTGTCCTTTTGTTTTATTTAAAGAGGTTTCATCATTTCACAATTTTTAATTGAGAAAATGGATAAAAATGATATTTTGCGCAATGAAAGGTGGAAATAATGGTGAAAATGTCAAAAAAATGAAAGGTAAGAGCATTTTCCACAATAACAGTGAAATGTGAGATGTTATGTGCTAATTGTAAGTGTTATGCCCTAGGTCCAATCAACTTTGGACATAAACACTTTGAATATATATATATATAATCAATGCATATGTATGGCAATATCTATTATTTAATTGAATTAATATTCTAATAAATTAAATAATAGAATCCGTAGATTCAAGTTTTGGTGATTTGTTAATCACAAGGAGTTGTGATTGTGAGATACAAANTGAGAAGCCGACTGAAAGCCAACTACGCAATCTGCACTTAAGCACCCCCGCGCACTATGAACGTGCATTGTCTAGACTTCACACCAGCGAACCATAACAACACAAATAGAACAAACATCACATCACAACACAAACCAAACAACACAACAACAAAGACAACCACAAAACAACCAACAAACCTACACCACCAAAACAATAAGCACACAGCACACCCCCGATCGCCACCCCACGGCCAATGCTGGAACCCAGCCAAAAAGACCCACCAACGAAACCCAGCAGTAGAAATCCTTCGCCAGCTCCGACCGCTTGAGACCGCAAACCGAGTAAACGCACGCCCCTCTCACAGTCCAAAGCACCACGAGAACAACCACCCAGGCCACCAGTCCAAACCACTACACCGCCCAAGCCAGCCTGCAAACCACAGGCATCAGAACCGGCCCAAGACACCTCCCAACATCAACAGACACCGAATAAATACACCACCAAACGACTCCCACCACAAACCGCCAGAATCGGCCCAAAAAGTAGGAAACCATCGGCAGAAGCTTAACGCCAATACACCGACATAATCACCATCCTACAAACGCTGGCCACCACCTGCAACCACAACCCCAAAACCAAGAAAACAGAAAAAAAACTGAAAAGGGGAGGGGGGAGCCAAAAGCTCCCACCTCCCGGCGAAACACAAGAAGGGCCGATCAAAACCAGGGTTAAGAGAGGCGAGGAAAAATTAGGGAAAAGAAACCAACGCCACAACCGGCAATCTCACGGGAGAACTGGTAGGTAAGTGGAGAGAGGGGTAAAGGAAAAGGGGAAGAAACCTTCACAAAGGAAGGAGCCAACCTTCACCGAGGAAACCAAAGGAAGAGGGGAAAACGCTCACTGGCAGAGAAGGGGAGAAGAACCTTCACATAGAGGAAGGACTGTTAGGGGCTTGCCATTTTTATCTACAATATTTATGTAATAAAATATTTTACATATAAATTCAAAAAAAATTATTATCTTCTAATCACACATTTTTTAAAAATAACTGTTTAAAACTCATTTTTTAAAAAATAATGACTAATAGGGCTATCATTTAACACATTTTTGGATAGAGTAATTAGCACATAATGTCCACACCTTTAATTATTATTGTGGAAAACGTTCATACATTTTATTTTTTGGTATTTTTACACTTGTTTCCACATTTCATTGCGTAAACGGCCTTTTTCATCCATTTTCTCAATTAAAAATTGTGAAATGATGAAAATGTCATTTCCTTTAAATAAAATAACAGAAAAAAGAAAAAATTTAATTGCAATCATAGTCCCTTTTTTTAGAAAAGCGCAAATGAGTCCCAAATAAATTATTAAAATAGTAATTAGTACATAATGTCACTATTTTTCACCTTATTGCGAAAAATGTCCATATCTTTCATTTTTTTGGCATTTTCACCCTTAATTACACATTTGATTGTGCAAACCATCATTTTCATCCATTTTCATCAAATTTCTCAATAAAGAACTGTGAAATAATGAATATACCATTATATTTAAATAAATTTATTTTTAATTTCTAATTCTCTAATAATTTATTTGGGACTCGTTTGCATTTTTTAGTTTTTTTTAATTTTTAAATAAATTTAATTGAGACTCATTTGCACTTTTCATAAAAAAATAATTTATTGGGGACTCGTTTGCACTTTTTAAAAAAAATTGGGACTATTTTTGCAATTAATTCTTTAACTTCTAATTTAAATAGTATGGTGTATTCGCCATTTCAATGTTTTTTATTGAGAAATTGGATGAAAATTGATAGAAATGATGGTTTGTGCTATCAAATTACAACTAAGGGAGAAAATGCCAAAAAAAAAAAAAAGTATGGACGTTGTTTGCAATAATAGTGAAAGGTAAGGATATTATGTGTTAATTACCATTTTAATAATTTATTTGGGACTCATTTTCGCTTTTCAAAAAAGTTGGGACTATGTTTGCAATTAGTTTTTTTCTTTTTCCTTTTGCTTTATTTAACGGGGATGATATTTTCGTCATTTCACAATTTTTAATTGAAAAAATGGATAAAAATGACATTTTGCGCAATGAAAGGTGGAAATAAGGATGAAAATGCCAAAAAAATAAAAGGTAAGAGCATTTTCCATAATAACAATGAAAGGTGGGACGTTATGTGCTAATTACCCTTTTTGGATATAAACCGTTCATGTGATGAAGTCTGCTAATTTCTTAAAAAGTTTATGACAAAAATCGAACAAATAAAAGATTAGGACCATGTTTGCTACTTTGCTCAAAGTGGGGATGAATTTTGCAATTTGCCCTTCTTTTAATATTCCGCCCTTGTTTGGGCTCCATTTTAAATAGATTTTGAATAAATATATATTTTTTGGAATAGTGAGTTTTTAAAGAATATATGGTTAAAAAATAAGAAAAAAATTGAATTTACATATAATATTATTTTATTGAAAATATGTAATTAAGAAGAGTAGAGAAAAAAATATATTTTAGATAAAATAAAGCTTAAAGAGGGGCTTAGTTAAGGGTAATTGTCTTACACCTCTGTTTTTATTACTTATCCACATTTTAATTGCACTCAAATATCATCAATTTTTTTTATTATAATCTTTATCCTCAACTTTTTTCTATGCAGTCTTTGTCTCCTACTTTTTATTAATCGACACAACTTCTCTCTCACCACGATTTTCATTCAAAAGTTCTGTTAGAAGGTTGTAAAAAAATTGTTTTATTGTATTTTAATTTATATATGTAAAAGTTTAAAAAGTATTTTTCACTCATTTCAAAACATACAAACAAAACAAAAGCCATAAATTCATAATCAAGAACGAGATGTACTAATAATTAATAAAAGATCGAAAATAAAAATTTGACAAAAATACAAGGACGCAAGTATATAGCAAACAAAAAGTTGAGGATTTAAGTGCAATTAAAATATGATACAACAAATAGTACTGCATAAATACAATTAAGGTTTTGTTTTAGTAAGAGCATAGGAGTCTTGTTAAAGAAATTTTGATTTTCAGGTGGGGATCCAATGTCATATAATTGAATGAGTAATCACTGGAGATGAAAACACAATTTATGTGACACTAATGCGACATTAAATGATAGGTGAAATTAAATAAGTCATTTAATTTCACCTTTCATTTAACCTATCATTTAATGCCACAAAAATTGTGTTTTCATCCCCATTGAGAATAAATAACATTACTCTAATTGAATAGA